GCCTATATATGGTCAAGATGTGATGTCATCATGACCAAATTAGGCATGTTGTTGCCAAGTAAAATTTGAGTCACTATTTGTAATGTTTTCCCTGTTCTTCAGGCTTTCTTTTTTGTTGTTGAATGAATTGAATTAAATTTTTTTGATGGACAAAGAAAAACTGAACTACCTTTCCGCAATTTTCTTGATATGTTCATCAACATCCAGCTTAGCTACACACACCCGTTGGACTACTCTCAGACCATTGTAGGTGTCAGTGTCAACAGTTGGTAGTACAGTCACAAGCGCTTGCAAACCCTGTCAAGAAGAACATACACATTTTAGAGGAGGAAAAAAAACCAATAGACTGAAGTTATAGTGTCTTGATAAAAAACAAAATGTAAAAATAACTCTTTAAAACTTTAAATAAAGCATGATATATCAAAATATAATAAATATATAAAAAATATATAAATATATCAGTAATCTAAGTTCTTTGTTCATCTGAAGCATTCCAATCTATTAAAAAGAAAGTGGTTTGGTGGTGAGGTTTCCCAGCCCTCAGGTTGGAGTTTCAATCCCTTTTGTCTTTGAACAAGGAACTCCATCCTTACCTGTAGGGCTGCTTCTCGTATCCCTCTGTTTGGGGCTTGGAGTGCTAACAGAAGCACATCAATCTCTTCTTGTTCGGCCAGTGTGCAGCCTTCATCCCCACTAGCACACTTTGAGACCTCCAGCAAGGCCTTTCCCGCTGCTTCCTGGTGCATTGCCGCACTGACTCCAAGCAGGTGGACCAGAAGGTTTAGCATGGCAGCACGTGGGAGTAACTCGGGACCAAGCTTTAAATAAATTAAAGGAATACTTTAATTATATCAAAATAGTAGCACTTGGAGAATAGACATTAGTTTAAAATGAGTGATTATGTCGCTGATGATTACAATGATGATGACAACGGTGGCGATGATGTTGGTGGTAGTAGTGAGGCTGATGAAGACGATGATAATATTATATGGATCATGGAATAAATATTGTATTTCATGATTTTCTTTTTACCATAATCTTGGAAATGAATGAATTTTTTTCATATTTTCATGACTATGAAACACTTCAACAATCAAACAACTGACCTCATCAATTCTCCAGCCATCATTGTCGAGGCTTTCTCTTAACTGAGCGTGCACCGTGATGATTTCAATAGCCTGGTCCATCACAGACAAACTGCCGTTCACAGCTACGCCACCTGCACGCAGTACTTTGTTCAACAGAGGAAAACAGAAAGCGAAGGACGGTGCCGACAGTGGTTTCGTGTCTTCCAACGGCGCTTCCTCAAATTCTTCATCATCTTCTTCATCGTATTGGATTTTCCTCTCTTGCTGGATGGTGCTTTTGTGCAAGGAATTTACAGATCGGGTTGTCATAGCAACGAGATCCTCTTCACACCATTCCTTCGGCAGTCGACATGATGGTGTGTAGAGCCGTAAAGTGCAGAAGGCAATAGTATTTGCTGAAAAGAGAAGATAAATCAAATATATTAAATAAAATTTAAAAGCATCTCCAAAACATTATCGCAAAAAAAAAAATTATTATACAATTTTGCCTAACAGACAATAAGACAGGATACCTGAGAATGAGCTCACAAGGCAGGGTACCATAAACAGTCTTACCTATGAAACTTTGCGAGGGAGGAAAAGCACATTTCTTCAACATCAAAAATATATCTACTGCATGGGGTGCTGCAAGCGGTGACGGCATCAAATTGAGAAGGTTGCCCAGAATGGCAGGAATGTGTTGTCTAAATCCATCAGAGTTGCCATCAACACAGGCACTCATCAATCGGGAGACACAAACAAGCTCAGAATCACACTACGACAAGAAAAAACAAGCTTTGTAGATAATAATGATTCATTATTTGTCCTCATTCTAATTGGAAATCATAAATTTGGGCTGGGCCCTATGGGGACCAGTGGCAGCCGCAGCACAGCACTACCCGGCTTAACTACAACATGAAACGATCACATACGAATAAAAACACTGTCCTTAGCCCGCCTAACTCGCAACATAATAGTTACTTGAGGAGCCAAGCTATCAGACTCCAATTAAAACCTGACGCTGGCCTGGTTTGAACCGGGGTCTTCAGCAAAAAAAAGCAATACTTCCCTGCCAACCACTCACTCACTCATTTATTCAAGAATTTTTTTCACCCCTTATTTATAGAGGGTGACCCTTCCGGCTTTCCCAGGTCAGCTGATATTCAGGGGCCTCTTCAATAAACAAAATAATACGATGTTACATAAACAAAGTTTCATTATGAGGAGTATATCCCTTTTACACTGCAAGCAAAATTCCGGATATAACCCAAGATTTTTCAATACCCGGGTTAAAATCTCCCGAGTTGTGGTTAGTGTAAACGTCAAAAAGTATGACTCTGGTTGCTAAACATTCCGGGATGGACGTGCGGGACGCATTCAGCGTAGGACAACCCGGGTGCATTCTGGAGTCACCAGTGTAAACAGCACTGAATTTGATTCCAGAATTAGGCCTTACCTGGCACCTACCGCAGCTGTGGTCAGGTAGGCCTAAACTTTGATAACAACGGGCTAGGTCTAAACACTTTTCAAATTAAACCCTCTACGCTCCAGTATAGATTTGATATAAAAACTGCTGATTTAATTCGCATAATTTAAAAACAATCTGCAGGTACATTGTTTCAATATTGACAATAATTGTGGCTTTGTGACGACAAGGAATTCGAACAATGTGATGATCACCACCGCAACAAAAATTAAGTGCGGTATTTGAATGTGAGTTTGTTGCCGATGTAAAATGGGAGCAACTCGGGATCAACCCGGACTTTTCGTTCGATGTAAATGGGAAATGCACCCGGGATTTCCCTGGAATTAACATGGGTTTATTCTGCCCTTGGCAGTGTAAAACGGGTATTAGGTATTGCATGTTTTTTTTTTTTTATATTTAATCCTGTGCTGTCACAGTTGGAATTTGAAGGAAAGCATCTTAACTATCAGGTTACACCTCAACTACAAGCACTCTGCTACAAGAATTATGATTGGTTGATAATCAGAATGTGGTCATGTGACTTACTACTTTCAGCCTATCACGGATGACCTTTTCCTTTTGTAGATTGATGGTAAGTACTTCTTGTTCTTTCTTGCTTAGCTTCCTTTCTTCTTTAATTCCTTGGGCTGCTTTTTTCCTGGCAATCTCCTGATAATAAAGAGAATGAAAATTGCCATTATTCTTATTTGTTTTATTCATATCAAATGTCTTAGGAAAATACGCAAACAGCATATAATTATATAAAAACCAAATTTAAAAAGTGTTGGAGATATGAATAGAATAATAAACTCACACTATTTGACCACTTTAAACAGAAACTAAAAATTGGGGAAGCCCTTTTTTTAGAGGTTATTTTAAACATTTCTCAACACTACTTTTGTAAAAATTGTTTATCAATGTATTCTTGTATCTTAAGGTACAGAAGAACCTTTGAAAGATAAAATTATGTGGAAGTTTGCTTGATAAATTTTAGTTCTCACCTCACGTATCTCAAGTTCTGCTAGTTGATCTTCAAATGAGTACAATTTGCTTTCCCTTTTCATATTAGCTTTGTTCAACACTTCTGATTGGGCAACACTACCAATAAACGAATACATCTATTAACATCAAATTCTTAAATTCTATTTTAAAAAATAAGTAACTTAGGGAGCAGTGAACAAAGACTAAAATTCTTACTCAAAAAATTTGATTGATTTATAGATTTCTATCACCATGATTGGTTAAAATAGATAATTACCAATCTTTTAGACAATGATTGAAATCAGTTACTTTTCCAAAGCATTGGCCCTACCCATCATGGTAATGACAAGCAGGAATTTGACGACTTTGGACAAGAACAAGTAATAATGTAATTAGGATGTATACACACATACATCAACATGCATGCCAACACAATGCCGATTTCTAGCAAAGAGTATGGAACTGCAGAGGTCCGACTGCCATGATTTTATGTGCACACAATGGAACGTTGAAAAAATGACTGCCATGAGATAGGGGGCGTCTCATTAGAATTCGAATAGAGTTTAAAACTCGAACATGCACGCTGTGCACACATTCGATACGAATGTCTTTTAAGGACACGCCCCTTCGTGGCAGTAATTTTTGAGATAAAGTTGCGTTCCAACGAAACCACGGAGTCAAACCTCTTGCAGTTGGAGACAGCATTCTTACTGTATCATTCAGCAGTTTCACTTCTGGTTTGCAGAAAGTAATCTTTTAAATGGACCTTAATTGAAATTGTTAATTATTATAATATTTTAACAATTTTTACCTTAATTTTAATGGTACATATTTTTGAGCCTATAGGCTGTTTGAATTTTATATTGATTTTTTGAAGGTGGGATTATGTGGATACACATCTCATGGTGTCCTCCAATCACCCTTTGGCCATTTTATGATTTGTTTGTTTGTCAAATATATAATAAATAAATCTGCATGGTAGCAAGAAAAGACTAACTACTACATTGTTTACCTTTCCAAGGCCGCCTTGTTGTACAACTCTCCTTCTGGCGTTCTCATGATTTCAAACTCCTCAAACGTGACATTCAACATGGACGGGTTGTTAAGGCAACTGTTGACCTGACTGACGACCTTTGCAAATGTTGTTTTGGGGGCAATGCTCGATAATGTTCTCAATGCTTCCAATGAAGACTGTAATAATTGAATATTAATTATAACAATTAAATAATTAACACAATAATAAGGCAATAAAAATAAATGTGATAAAAATATCAATAACAATAAATCATGTCATTTAATTTCTTGATTAAATAATATTATAACATACAATTTATATTATGTAATTAAAAAGCATTGTTTATCAAAGCTACTTACTTCTTTTGAAACACTTTCAATAATAATTTCAAATATCTTGTCAACATTATCACTGACAAATGTCTCTGGCTGCAGTTGGAACTTTGCAAGGAAGCTGGACCATAGCATGGGCTTGGCATACACTATAAAAAGAACACGAGCATCAATTTAAAAAATATTCTTTATCCTTAAGTTAAGGACATGCAGAAATAAAGAGGTTAACAGTACTAAAAAGCACTTAAGAAAGAAAAACAAGGAAATTTACCAATACATGGATGATGGACCGTCAAGAGTGACGCCAGCATAATATTGGTATTTTCATCGTCGTTATCGCTAGCGCCATTACTGAGGATGATACACTCTAGGGCAGTAGCCAACACCTGTGGCCGTATGTCCCAAGGATAGGCTCCTTCTGTCTCTTCTCTATCTGGGTCAGGTACCTAGAAACAAGGATACAAGGAGACATTTTTCATCCCACTACAGGGAAATTTCATGGCTGAATAAAACATTTATAGTCTAGTTTTCATTATGAAGATTCCAGAATCAATTCGATCTGAAAATAAATGTGACTGTAAATGCTCATCAGAGAACCAATGAGGTCACATGCTCAGCATGTTTGCTCACATATCATACAGTTCCCAAGACAGTGTTCTCCCGATGCGACTTCAACTGTCAATTTTACTGGTAAAAATAAAGAGCTGACAAGAAAAACGGTGTGTTGGTAAAAAAAAACACCACTGATTAGACCTAGGTATTCTAGGCTGGCCTTCTTTCAATTAAACATCCTTCTAGTCTAGGTCTAGCCTATGACTGTACGTGTTGTTGTTTTTTTCAAGTCGTTAAACCCAAGCCGAAGGGTCAGATAAATTTAGCAGTAAAAACTTATCAATTGGAAGAACACTGTAAGAGCATGTGAAATGCTTTACAGTTTTTGATAGGAATCAATCAGTAGCATAATAAATGTATATGAATTGCTATAAATTTAATCTAAATCTTATTACAAATATAATTTTATTACATTCTCAATAAATGGGAATAATCATGGGATGAAATGCATTAAAACTTTATACAGAAATCAATATAATCATTAGTACTTCAATATAAGTTAACCAGTATTCCTAACATATCATTTTCAGTATATTGTATGGATGATAATATATAATAAAAATACCTTTTGATGTGCCAAAATCTTGTCAAATTCTGAGAGTAATGCCTTCACACACTTAACACCACCTAGGCTGTATAGAATCTTCTTGGTGACTTGTTGAGCTGATCTCCGCAATTTCCAGAACTTGTGTACCAAGGCGATTACCAAGGCATGGTAGTAGGAACTGAGAATTTCAGAATATTTATTCAAGTAAATAATTAGCTTTCAATTAAAAATAAAAACAAAAGAAATAAATTTTTTTGTCATCGATTTAATAGACGCATAATACTTTAATCTTTGCATAGAACCATACATTTTCTGGTAATAATATTATAAGGATTTTTGTTTCGGTATTATTTTGGGTGCAGCGACACATTCTCACCCTTAAGGCCAGGGGTGCAAAATCCTTTGCTGTGCATTTGGCTTGTGTCCTTGTAAAGGGGCATAATCTTCATTTATCTCTTATAAGTATAATTGGGTACCGCAGGGGTCCCACGTTGAAGAAGTCCATTCGCAGGAGATTTTGTCGGGAACCTTTGGCCGCCTGCATATACAACGTGTGTTGTGTTGCAGCCAATACACAACTACTCATGATATCAAATACTTGACATTCAATGATCACACAAATAGTTAAAATTGCTCTTGCTTTCCTTTTCATTTACACATTGTAAATTCATACCATGAAATTACATAAACTGCCTTTTTTCTGGAATCTACTACTCTGTACAGTAGGCCTAGCCTAATATTATACATTATTCATTTATTTACACTTTACATCAACAACAATCATGTAAATACATCAATTTACACTTCTTTTCTGGCATCTGCTACTTTTAAATAGTAGTAGTAGTAGCTTATTAGCCGATGAGAGAAGAGTGAAATTTGGATGCAGTTTATAGCAGTCTGTCTAACCCTGGTCTAAGCAAGTCTGTAAACATAAAAATAATGAAAATATTAATATTATCTCAAAATGTATGTAATCTAATTTATTTTATTCTTGTTAAAATAATGAGTCTTGTTTAGGTGTACGTACTTCAAAAACCTTATCTGAGGTCTAGACCTAAGGTGTTTTAAGTATGGTAGGCCTAGGCCCTAGCTAGAACAGTAGAGGGAAAAAAATGGCTCACCTCTCTCAGACCAAAGGAGTCTACGCCTATTTAGGCCTAGCTAGGTGGCCTAGCTAGGTGGGTTAGCGATGAGCGCAGGCCTCTACATCCATTCATTTCCGAAATCACAAAAATGAATATAGAACGTATGGTTTCTATCACAATCACATACAACTGTTAAAAAAGAAGTCAACATACCTTTAAATGTTTTCAACAGCGGCAATTCCATAATTCTTCACTGATATTACCGCATTAGTAGCAACAACATGGAGCTCCATGATTTCAAACAGTACATTTTGCTGAGTTGAGTTCAAACTTTGATTCAGTATTCAATTTGGCCTCGATGGCGCGCCACCGGTGGCGGACATACTTCTTGTGAATTAAAGCACATGAATGTTTGCGTTTTTTCGCTGGACCCATCTCTTATTATTTTCAACTATCAATTAATAATTGTGTGATTTTGATGAAACAGCTACGACAAAATTAACTTTATGCAAAAAGTTAGCAGTAGGCCTAGCCTATTTATGTTGTATGAGTCAAAAGGTTTTTGCCGGCGTGGTCTGGTGGCGTCGCAAGAAAAAGGCGCATCCAGAGCCGTAGATGGGCGCATCAACCTTTTTAATAAACAAAAAGTATATTTTGGTTTCCGTTTTCCAGCAGCTACCGTAATGAATTGCAAAATAAATTATAAACAATGATGATAGGGAGTGGATTGAACTTATTTGTGACTGTTTACGGTTGATTTTTTTAACATCCTGAGTCTTGCTTTTACCTAGGTCTAGGATAGAGCTGATATTCAAAATTAATTATTTAAATTTACAAAAATTTACGAAAGGATTTTTTATGAGGTAGAAAAACGTAGACTTATTGTAGTGCGGTAGATCGTCGCTAAAAACGGTAGGCTTCCGTAAGTAGCGGTAGACTTTGGACCTCTGGGTACAGGCATATACTAACAAAGTAAACAGACTTCTTGTGAGGGAGAAGTAATGAGCCCCCAACAGCAGTTCACAGTACTAGTCTAAACACCAAGGAAGAGATGGGAAATACGAAATTTCCATGAGCTCCAAGGTCTCCTTTTGACTTCAGCCAACTTTTAATAATAGTTGATATCTTACAGTACTTGATCCTTCTAAATATACAATTTAATGTTTTTTATTTAATTTTTGAAGATTTTCTAGATTTTTCTCAAATAGTATATCTTGAATACATAACAAGTGAATATTTAGTAAATGCAGGAAATTCACAATATAACTGTAAATATTATAGAAGATTGATTTTACAAACCTTGCAATGGCGTCAGTTAACTTGGAAAAGTGGTTCAAAAAAAGATGCTCAATGATCACAAGAAGTGACTCGATACCTTCGTCTGGCGCCCCCAATAGGAACTTTTCTGATGTAAACAGGTGCTTCTTATGATCCGTCAACACCTTCCATACCAGATCAAGTTTTGATTCTGCCAAATAGAATGTATGTTTTAGTATAATTACATTCATCCTGTCTCTTATACACATCTAGATGTGTATAAGAGACAGGGTCGGTGATTATGTGAGGGGGGCTAACTCACAAAATAAAGTGATTTGAGGTAATTATAACTACTTGAGCATGATTTGTGGGTAGGGGCACGACTGGGGGATGGCGAGTGTTTTTTTATTGGGGAGGGGCGTGCACATCTGATATGCCAATACCTAGCATACCCTGCAATTTACCCTACGGTCCGCCACTGTTGACAACTAGCTTGCCATTCGTCAGTTTACATCATAGATGCTAAATTGATATCTATTCTATTTCAGCTCCAGTCCACTACGCTAATAAGTACAACACAATGACATGAGCCGGCCAAAAGCTTTTTCAGAAAGGGGAATACATCAATCCATGTCATTGCACAGTTGTTTCCCCAGGTGCATTTGAAGATACACCCACTGTCATGGAAGATATAACAGAAGCATCTACACCAGCCTCTTCACACTGCTTTAGCACAGCTTTCTAGCTTAATGAAACACTTGTTAAGATAATGCACATACCCGCTTCTAGTTCCACTTGATGAAGCTTAAGGAGGAGAGCAACCGAATGAGCACCCTCCGTCACCATTGGAACCTGACTCGATTGGGAAATGGCTTTTTCTAATGATTGAAGTAACACAGGCAAGACCTGAATGGCCTGTTGGAGTGTATTGCCTAGAAAGAAATACATTTTGGATAAATTATAAATAATGAATACTAAGTTCAAATTTTATTCAAGCATACAGATAAAGAAATGCAAACTGATTTTATTCACTTTGTATTTAACTATAAGAAAGTATAATATAAACTCTGAAAAAAATTGTGATACAAGCCATTGTGATTCAACAGTTCAAACAATATTTCAATTATTTATTTTCCCACAAAACGCACCATGAAATGCTGCCAGCATACACTGGATGTAGCCTTGTCGCACCAGCACAGTGGATGTTTTTAATGCGAGAGCTTCCTTCATCCACTTTATGACCTTCTTAGGCACTTCATTGTGGAATCTCTTACACCAGAGCGACATCATTTGTAAAGCATGTACAAGTGTGCCCTCATGCACTGCCGAGGAATAGATAATGTTATATTATTGTTATTACAGTTACTATTATTTCTAATATTATGTACAACTTGGATCAAGTTGTTCTAAATGATAACAACAACATGGTTATTATTATCATAATACATAATCATGATAATCATGATGATGACGATAATGATGATGGAGTATGATGATTATGTGATGATGACAGATGATGAAGTTGATGATAATGATGAAATTGATATAATATTAAAACTTGGAGAAGCCTTCAGTAGGCTATAAATGGCTGGCATGATGATGTGGTTTGATAAGGATGATATTGATGAGGATGTTTTGGTTGATGATAATAAATCTGAATATGCAGCTTATCCCTCATACACCTATGGTAAAAACAAAGCCAACATTACCTTCAACCTGCATATATGGAATGAATAATTCAAGTGCTGTGGTTGCCAGGTTATGCATTGAGTTTCCACTCCCAACTGTGTTATAGCTGAGGTTGCCAACCCCTGTCAACACACCAAGTCTCTGTGTCACCATCGTCAGCTTGCCAGATGAACCTGAAAAAGGTTACAATCTTCATTTGCCAAATTCCTTCCATGATGGTAAAGAAAAGAGCCATCGGGAAAGCTGTTGTCTCAAATCCTAGAAATGTTTACGTCATTGTCGTTCCTACTCTTTCTAAATTCAATGCCAAGGTGTGTAGCATAAAGCTCTGTCCAGATTATAAAATTTTCTTCGACAAAAAACTGTTGTATGCCCATATATAGTCATGATGTGCCCATATATAGTCATGATTTGCCCATATATAGTCATGATGTGCCTATATATGGTCATGATGTGATGTCATCATGACCATATTTAAGCATGATATATGTTTTTGTCAAATACAATTTGATAGTTTGGACAGGGCTTTAGGCTTCCACCGACTTTTTAAAAATTTATTATAATTTTATTTAAGTATTTTTTTTCTTAATACACTTTTTTCCCTTCCTCCAATAGAATATATTATGACATTAAGGTATTTAAAGGTTCTCGATCCTACCATTCAAGACAGCAAAGAATTGTTTCAGTAAATCTTCGATGGCACCAGGATCACTGCACTGTACAGCTAGGTTCTTTGCAGCTTGCCCGGCTAGGTCACGCAGTGCATCATCTTTGCTATGTAGCTGGCCTGATAATTAATTAAAAAATCAATCATCAATCTGTCAATCAATCATTTATATTCTGCTGGCATTTGCTTCATAAGTGTTATGTCAAATTATTCATTTAGGCGGATCTACCTATTTTCAAACACTCCTAACATTTTCTTTCTCTGTCTTGCTATTCTTTTGTTAAAAATAAAGTAATATATTTAAACAATATATCTTCTCTTAAATGTAAACACTCATTTAAAAGAATCAAATAAATTAGGTTTGCATTTCATTTATTTTTTTTCCACCATATTTATAGAGGGTGACCCTTCCAGCTAGGTTGATTTACATACCCTAAACTGATTGACATATTAGCCCAAGGTTCTTTACAAAGAATATAGGATTTATTCGCATGTTAATTTTTTTACTCATGTCAAATTTGGAAGTTCATTACTTTACATACAACTTGGCCTCTAATGTAATAATTTAGGTATCCATCCAAATTTACACATGATGAGCTCAAAACCAATAAAGGTCTTGTTTGTACATCACAAAAACAAGTTCTGTTCATTTGATTTGTGTTCCTGAGAATGCATATATTGTTGTGTGAAAAACCAATATATCAAATCAAATCAATGGGCTGTACATGACATTTATGCTGCAATAATACATTTTCCTGAAAATGTATCAACTTACCGGCAACGCTCTTGCCTAGATCAGAGGCATAGCGGCTCAAATCCAAGGACACGCCACACAACAAGTATGTAATTGCTACAGAATGAAAAATAGAAGTATTTTAACATCAAAATATACACAAAAGAAAAATTTAATATTTTTTTATGTTGAAGGATAATCCTATGAACTGTATTTGAAAATTTAATAAAAGAATGGAAAGAAGAATATAAATATTCAATTCTCTACAATTTGTGATGTATTTTTTATTTTGCAAATAGAAAATATTAATTAAAAATCCCTGTCTCTTATACACATCTAGATGTGTATAAGAGACAGACAAAGAATATAGGATTTATTTGCCTGTTAATTTTTTACTCATGTCAAATTTGAAAGTTCATTACTTTACATACAACTTGGCCACTAATGTAATAATTTAGGTATCCATTCAAATTTACACATGATGAGCCCAAAACCAATAAAGTTCTTGTTTGTACATCACACAACACAAGTTTTGTTTATTTGATTTGTGTTCCTGAGAATGCATATATTGTTGTGTATTGTTGTGTTGTGCCAATATATCAAATCAAATCAATGGGCTGTACATGACATTTATGCTGCAATAATACATTTTCCTGAAAATGTATCAACTTACCGGCAACGCTCTTGCCTAGATCAGAGGCATAGCGGCTCAAATCCAAGGACACACCACACAACAAGTATGTAATTGCTACAGAATGAAAAATAGGAAGTAGTTTAACATCAAAACACACACAAAAGAAAAATTTCATATTTTTTTATGTTGAAGGATAATCCTATGAACTGTATTTGAAAATTTAATAAAATAATGGAAAGAAGAATATAAATATTCAATTCTCTACAATTTGTGATATATTTTTTATTTTGCAAATAGAAAATATTAATTAAAATCAGTGGAAAAAAAATTAAAGAAAAACATGGATGGCAACCAAACACAGAGGTCACAAGTTGAAAGAAATCCCTGATATGGTTAAATGAGCTTTGATCTGGTTAAATGAGCTTTCTTAACTTATTTAATTTTATTTTTCTACGCATGGTGATTACCCATCGACATTGACTTCCATGAGGCAACTGATAGTAAGATAGTAAAAAGCATGCAAAAAAAATGGGTTATTTTCCGGGAGATTATTGCTTCCTTGCAGGAGTGAGGGAGGCCTTCCCGATTTCCGGGAGACTATTGCGACTTCCGAGAGTATTGGGACCCTGTAAACATATTTCCCTCCGCTACAGTGATTCTTTTGATTGAGAAGTCCAATTATTAAGACACAAACGCTGACACTTGTGAACACTGGAATATATTCGAGGAAGGGTTTTTTTCTTGGTTGATGAAAATAAAATTCAATATAAAACTGTAAGTATACAACTTGATGAATGTTTTTTTATGTAAAAGTAAGAAAACCTTGATTAACTTATAACAATACTACATATTAATTGATAAGCATGTAAACTGACCTTCTAATGAATTCTCTGGACTCCGCAACAACGCCCTCTCAGATGCGGGCAAGAACATTTCTTTGAACTCATCATGGGTTACATGTTCTAGCAACCACTTACAAGTTTCCTATATAATCATGAATTTCAAAGCAAAAATACAGAGAAAAATTAAGGATATTAATAAAATTCACACACACTTACTAGCTTGTTCAAATTCTATTTGAAAAAAAATGACATACCTAAATATGGTCATGATGACATCACATCATGACCATATATAGGCACATCATGACTATATATGGCCATACAACAGTTTTTTTTTTCAAATAAAATTTAATAATCTGGCCAGGGCTTTAGGCATTCCATTGAATTTTTCAGTACACTTCAAACTACTATATGAGCATAGGTCAGTCAGCTGCACTTGTAGTTGCAACTCTGTGGACTGAACCATGAGGATCCATTTAAATCTTTGGTCATTGGTTCTATTTCAATTGCTGTTCTCCTTTTGTTGCAGCTTGACAGTCGAAATACAAGTAAAAATCAAAAAGTTGGGGTCGTCTCAGGGCTTAGGCTCCAATTATGGGTAAGCTGTGATTACAGAATGTTAGTGGTATCAAATTAAAGGTGTCTCAAATTTTTATTGAAAAAGCTTGGAAATGCAAACTTTCTTCAGCTCTCTGAGGCTATTTTTTTGCATTAGGCACATCATAAATTGATATTTTTGTATTAGGCGCTTTATAAATTTATTATTATTATTATTATAAATACAATAAATAGAGTCACTGTAGCATCAATCTGTATCATAGAGTGTATTAACCGGCATTAAATCACCTATACTTCTGTATAGACCAAGCATGTTTTTAATTTATTTTGTTTCCTTGAAATTCATGTACAGTGTATGTACTGTACTATCTCGAAAAGAAGCCCATGCTATCTTGAAAAGAAGCCAATGGGATTCTTTTCTAGACTACTTTTTGCAAACTAAAGAGGGGGGTTTCAATTTGAGTTGGGCTTCTTCTCGAGATTAAGCCCATTGGGCCTCTATTCGAGGTTAACAGTATTCAAACAATTACAACAATTCTTACCAAGACATGTACATTTGGTTTGACTTTGCTTGTTAACACAGCCTTGATGTACAAGTCAATGAAGCTTTTCTTAAGGTCAATGACACGGTCGATCTGTTTCATAGAGGTTAAATATCTCAGCAACTGGCTAAGTAGACAAACAGAGTACACATTGGCATCACCGCTGGTTAGAACTTTGACACAGATTTCTACAAGTCCAGGAATCTAAAAAACAGATACAAGAACTGATTGTATAGTATAAGTAAACTGGAAACAAAGGTAAATTATTTATAGTATAACTTTTTTTTTATTACCACTGCAACTCCCAATGTTATTTTCCTATCCTAAACTGTGCACTAATTTTCCATTACTGCACAGTTTGCTAGATCTTTTTTCTTTTTTTCATGCATTAAATATAACCTTCATATAATAATTTTCCGCTGGTGTATTATGTACAGCTGTACTAATTGCTTAATATGTATTTGTTCAATATAGTTGATTGATTTATTGAATTATGACTGCTTACCTTCTTCCACAAAGTTGTTAGTTTTCTGTATGCTGAATTGATTATGGATTTCTTACCAGACGCTAACACTACGTAAATCAGCTCTGCTTGAAGATAAATCTAAAGGCAAAATCACAAACAAAAGAAAAACAACCTGCGTTGTTATTATTATTAATAAATTATATCATATGCCTTACCAAAGAGACCAACAACGCTTAAAAAATTTTTAATTTTATTGAGTTTTAACTTTGTGAAATTGTGAATATTTTTTATATGTATTCTATTGACTGGTTTTTAACTTTTTAAGTTTTTATGATATTTTTTATGGTATTCAATTCAGTTACTGGATGCTATTTACAATTTTGATTAATAAACATAAATTTTACATTTATTATGTGGCTACAAACAAATATTTTTTCCTTCATTTTAAAGCTAATAACTTATTGAATTAAACAAAAATTTTCTTCAATATTATTTATTATTTTTAATGTTAAATTATTATGGCAGTCTTTAAGCTGTTGATTATATAAACTTCATAGTGTCTGCATTCCTTTGAGCAGTCCTAAACATCCAAACACTGGCACTGAGAAATATTTAGACTTACCAACTGATTTTGTTGACCTTCACATTGCTTTTGGGTGCTCAGTATCTCGAGGAGGACGGTCGTCCATTTTAACGCAACCATGGCAACCGCACCACTGCTTCTCCTGAAGTCATAACAAATTTCATATTATTCTTGAAAAAATTCTATATTTCTTTTATAATGAAATTGTTCACACTGTATATTTACCCGCAAAGCATTTCAATCAATTATGCTAGTGATTTTAATGAACATACAAGTAAATGATGATGACGATGAAGATTTCTATTGATAGAATGTTCCAGATAATGTGTATGAATAATTAAAATATTCATATACCATTGATGCAAAATATTTTAGATTTTAGATTTATATAGTTTACAGTTTTGTGACAACCTTGTGATAGAATTATGCCTGCCAGGAACTTCCCCACCACACAAGGTAATTCCTACCACTGACAGGTTGACAGAAAATTTCCAGTCACTTGTGGAAAATATCCCGCTTCTGTATAAAAAAATTCTGACCTCTGTCTGGTATGAAATTATGTATCCCCGCTTAAAAATGTCATACCCCTGCCTATAAAATTCCCATCCTTAAAGATAATTTCCCACCCATGACATAAAATTCACTGGTAAGAAACTACCCACCCTTACTGAGTTTGTGCATTTTCTTTAATAATAATAATAATAATAATAATAATAATAACAATAATAATAATCATAATAATATTAATAATATTTCAACATACTGTAACTACAATCCACATGCATAAATTTTCTCATCTGGGTTTCTCCCTGGTTTTTCACATCAAAGGGTTAAGTTTTATTGATGGAATGCTTAAGATCTCTAAATATAGTTAGTTCTACAGTTGTGACAATGTCCCCATCAGTCAATGGTATCACCCACCAAGTCTGGCAAGAGATGCCTAGCCAAGCATTACACCTAGGTCTTGCAACAAAATTAGAAATGATGTTCTGCAGTATATAAGTAGAACTGTGAAGAAATTTGAATGTTTTTAGAATTTAGACTGTGGAGAAATCATCATTTATTTTAATGCTTGAACAAATCAGTATGCAACTTAAAATACTGACACTACCACTGATTTGTGAAATTACGCAGCATAGCAAAAAAAACCAAAAACAGAAAAACAATTAAAAAAAGAAACACTCACGAATCTTGATGACTCTTGTTTCTGTTGGCAAGAGTTTTAAGAACAACAACGACGTGTTTACATGTTGCCTGAGGGTGCTGTTTACCAAGAACTTGAATGAGATTTTGTACGGATTTACGAGATGCACCATCATGGTAGCAGTCGATGGTTTGAGCAAGCAAACTTGAAAGTGGTCGAATGCCATTCTCTGGAAATCCTAGAAGCAAAGAAAACATTTTCTATTGATTGATATCTCAAGAAAATAACAGTACGCAGCAGTATGTTGCATCTATATACATGTAGGCCGATATATAATTTTAGCATAAAAAATTGAATGATACTGTGCTTATTATGTATTTCAAAATAAAACCTACTTGCACTATAAATTGACCCACACATCATTATAGTTTTTAAAAAAAAAATAATTAAATAATTAATTAAAGTTTTGATTTAAACTGTTAAGTGTCGTTCAAGCTTTTAATTGTGTTGTTGTCGATTTGCCATGATCATCTTCACAGATGGGTGCACAACAAATATTTAGTATTATAGTTGTAGTAGTATTATGTTGAATGGGTGTTATTCTAATTATGATGTCACGATGATGGTGGTGATGATAATGATATTGATGGTGATCAATGATAAGAATTTAATTCATAAAGAACAATGCTAAAAGTAAAGGAGAGGTAAAGGAAGAAAATAATTTTATACTGATGAATAATCTCCTTCAATTCTATATTGTCATGAACAGATAATTTGTTGTCATATAGCCTACGCATCAGATGAAAGATATTTAAGTATAACAACAAAGTTTATTCCTACATACAGTTCCCTGGTTTAATTCAGGCCTCCTAGACAACAGTGGCTCCAAAACTTTACCTCTGTCTGTACCCTAGTACTATAGTGTGCACGGAGTTAACTCCATGGTACATGTTGTAGGCATAGGCCTAAGTTAAAAGGGAAATTTTACGTGACTGGTGGTAAATTAAAAGCAAGTACTACTACTACTAGGCCTAGGCCTAGCCTAATTAGGGCCTAACTAAGGGTTTTCTATCTACTATAGATACTACTACTTTGCAGCAAAAAGTTATTAGCATGCACAAGAACAACATTCAAAATAGTGTTATCACAGCATAGTTAAGGAAATTAATTTGCACCGGCCTAAGCCTAGGCTAGGCGCTAGGCTTGACACCGACAGACATCATATCACCACCATACCAACCTGACTCAACCACACATTCTAGCAGCTGGGTCAAAATCGTTATTCTTTCTTTAGGCCTGGATATTGTTACTTTCGAAGCAAATTCTTTCGTAATTTCAGCAACCTAAAAAATATAAAGTACTACCACATATTATCCAATAATATTCAATAAAAATATTTTAAACTCTCTTTAACCTAAAAACACGTGTAACATCAACACACCACTTACCCTCGAGCCCGTAGTCGCCATCTTGTTGTGCAAAAACAGGTAAACGCTTCTTCGCATACACACTGTGGTTCTAATCGTAGAGAAAGACAAAACGCAGCAAACGGAATCATTATTTAATTTTATTTATTTATTGATTTATTTTGTCTTTAAATTAATAGAAATAATGGTACAGCAAAATCTTTTGAAATTGAGTTTCTGAAATTTCCATAAAGTACATTTATTTTTTTTGAAGGGCTGTTTGAAAAATACAAAGAGTTGTAAATATTTAAAAATTCTTTTCTTTTTTTTTACTTGTTTGGTAGTCCATTTCACATACCGGTAATCCTTTTAAAATTATCCTTTCAGAGTGGGTGTGGTTTTGTGTGCTGATATAGTGTAAACAATTGAGGAAAGAACCGGACCTCGATCTCGAGAGGTAGTTTGTCAGGCCTACAACTCGTTTGTTTATATAACTCTTTTTTTCGAATTAAATTTATATTGGGATAATATTAAACCTGATATTCAGTTCAGAATAGCACCTCCTCGCTGCCACCGGGTGAACATGATTATTTTATAATTAATTTACATTTGTTATTGAAGTAGAATTCAATTCTGCTTCAAATAGTGCGCGTTTATTTACATAGTAAAAATTATAAACAAGAGAAATCTAAAATAAAGTTCTCCCTGAAGAAGAATCGAAACTCGGTCTTCCACTCTACTACCAAAAATGAACTGAATTCATTATATATCAGCTTCGCCCTTTGGAAAAATATTTTGAATATCCGGTATTTAAATATTTACATAATATTTACATAAAATAATATTTCCTTTCCATTGTCATTACTGAGAAGGATTGCGATTTAGGTTTGATTTCTGATTTCATTATTAGGCCTATTCAGTTCAAATATGAGATCATTTATGATGGCGTCAATGTTTGGTCTGCAGCTTGGGGATTCCTTAAGGCAGGGACCACTGATATCTATAAGTGGAAAGATGATTCTGTTGACACCAATAGCCTCTATGATGACGCCGAGGTTGTAAATATCAGATGCACATGTTGGTGGAGTATCAGGATGGAATAGCTCCGGTTCGTGCGTGTTCAGGGGTATCGCTCATGTGGTCGAAGCGGTCTTCCTTTTTGGTGCCGTTTAGTGGAAGAAATCGAACAGAGCTGCTGTGGTGCAGACGGAAACGAAGTCAGTGATTTTGGCTGCAAGTCGGAAACCGTTGATCAGCAGAATATTTCTAATTGCAAGATCATTTTAGATTAGACATTTTTTATGAATCACCTTAGTTCCGTTCGCAACGTCGAGGACTACATTCAGTCCGTCAGTAGTGGAAAGTTCTGGTTATGCAGATGACATTCCTCTAAGTAGTGATATTAACTTGAAAGACGTAGGGTCACCAATAAACTCCATGACGATACCCCAGTTGGAATCTGAAGTAATTGCGTTGCATACTCCGTACACGAGAGGAAATACCTTGCTTTTCTGAGATAGCAACAGCATCACTCTAGCCTCGAGAGAAACTGTGAGTTTGTCGATGAACCGGCGATGGAATTGATTTGAAGCAAGTTTTGACGGCTACGAGTGGGCTTTGGACTCACCGAGACGATTGAGGATATCCCGCATAAAGAACCACTAAAAAAAGTAGTATTTGTGAATTGGAAAGAGCACTAGCTAGAATTGTATTTAATGAAATGTTTATCATCAGATGTGAAATGATCGATGCAGCCATCCAAAAGAATTAGCTTCGGCAAAAACTGACGAATAGTAATGTTCAATTGCAAATCTTGTCCACCATGGCTTTTGTAGTAAATGGGTTGGTAGCAATACCATACATCATCTGTATCAGAGTTACACAGATCTGTGATGGCACTTTAATCCAAACCTGATATGACGTAGGTTTAGATTGGAACTCACCATCGTCATTACATTAGCAGATTGTTCTTGAGTACTGAAGCAACACTTGAAATACTTGTTGAAAACATTCAGCAAAGACTGAACGGCTGAAATGAATGAAAAATGTCTTCACGTACCGTACTTAGAGTAATTCATTTTCCAGATAATTCATTGTCATTTATACCGTCATCAAAACCACAAACACCATCACCGCACTCAGTACATCATTATTATTATCACCATTATCATAATCAACATCAGCATCATACCATAATACCACAACTACTACCATCAATCGTTACAGTATACAGTCAATAATGTCTACTTATCTTTTTTCGAACCTTGTCTTGGGTGACTAATCAAATTGTTCCACCACCTTCCAGGCATTCTTTAAAAGATAATTTTGAAAAATTTATAAATATATTCGGTGTGTTATATCATTATTTATGTCAATTATGTAATTAATTAATATGAGATTTGAATGGCATTGTATTCAAATACAATAAGTAAAATAATAAGGTACCGGTAAAGGGAAAAGGAAAACGTAGTCCCTTATTCATTACGGAACGTAGAGGAATGAGCGATGAGCCCATTGTACTAATCCTCGATATTGTGTGGTAGGGTGGCAAGTTCCATTCCATGCCGCCTTTTTTCCTTCCTAGTAGTAAACCACCGGGTACCCATTTATACTCCTGGGTAGAGATAGATAAACGTAGATGTATAGTGCTTTGCCCAAGGACACAAGTGACTTGCACAGCAAGACTTCCGAACCCCTGACCTCAAGGTTGGGAGTCCAAGCCACAACCGATGCTTTATGCCTCCTCCCAGTAGGCCTAAGCACATTGCACATCCAAGAGAAATGCAAACTGTTAATAATTATTAACATGTCTTTGCTTTATCAATTAAGACGATATATATA